AGCAAGCCCCAAACGCCCCAGTTCCAGCCAACCGGCTTCTGTGCCCCGGAGCTAGGAAGTCAGTCACTTTCTCCCCTTCTCCTGACTTTCTCTGGGCAGCGATCCAAAGCTTGGCTCGAGTTCCCAGCCTGAGGAGCTTGAGTGGTGAAATCCGACACTCCCAACCCAGAGCCGAGTTCCTGCGCCTCCATTTTGTGAATGAAATTCCTTTCTGTTCCATTCAGGAAGCAGCTGGCCCAGTGCCAAAAGGCAGGGAGGAGGGAGGCTCAAGGTTATATAACGCAACACCAGCCCTGGGGAGAGCAACGGCTCCGTCTGTCTCTCTGCCTGTGTTTGAAGATTGTACAGGACTTTCTCCTCCCACCAATACCTGATTCTAGTTGGAAGATACGTTGGGGGGGGGGATGAAACTTAAGCATGGGTTGGATTTGAAGGAAAGAGCAACATCTGCCCATCAGACAAAGAGGCTGTAAGGAGATGCAAAAACATCTGAGCAGGGGAAAAAATTAAGGAAGTTTAGGCAGCTGCTTAGCACGGCCAAGCACCACCGTCATTCCCAATGTATGGTCTCCATTGCTCCCCTGGTGCTCAGGGGGCTAGACAACAAAGGACTGTAGAAGTGGAGTGAATGATACAGCGCCAGCAAGGACACGCAGGTCGCTTCAAAGGGGAGGAGAGGTGTGCAAAGCCACCACAGTACTCATCTGGGGGCCCACAAAAATCTGGGGCTTGCCCTTCGAGATGGCTGCACTACATTCCGGCAGGCTACCGCTCCACAGTGAGCTGTGCAAAAGTAGGGCAGGCCCCCTACAAGAGACATTTAGCCACACATCCTGACTCACCAGTTTGCAAACCACAGAATTTGGCACAGAAACTCTCTCAATGTTGGGCATTTCCAGACTGGGGAAACTAAGGAAATGAGGCAGGAAACAACAAGGTGCCTCCAAGCTAAAAACAGGTCCTAATCTGTTCCAGTGCAGAGTGATATATTGTGCTGGTCTCAACACATTAAAACGTGTGAAATGGAAAAGACTGGATACTCACAAAACAACCTGCACCGGCCCAACACAAAGTTTCTTCCTCCACTACAGATTTCTTTATATGAGATTATAAAACAGCCATTTTAAATTTTGCCTAAGAAGAAAAAAAAACGTTCTAGGGTTGCCAGCTCCAGGCTGGGTAATTCCTGGAGACATGGGGGTGGAGAGCATTTGGTGAGGGGAGGGGTCTTCCTCAGGGCATATTGCCACAAAGTCCACCCTCCCAAGTAGCCATTTTCTCCATTCTCTCTGCTGTCTGGGGACCAGTTCTACTTCTGGGAGATCTCTGGGCCCCACCTGGAGGCCGGCAATCCTCTCTAGAGCCATTACAACCTAATTTAGAGGCTTTACGATCTGAAAACATGGGCTTCCCAGTTCATACTCAAGGGCTCAACAACACTGAGAGGAAGACTGGGTCTACTTGTACCCACATGGCGGGGGTTTCTATTTTTGTGTGGAAAGTTTGGTGTAGTGGTTAAGTGCACGGACTCTAATCTGGGAGAACCGGGTTTGATACCCCACTCCTCCACTTGCAGCTGCTGGATGACCTTGGGCAAGCCTTAGTTCTGATAACAGCTGTTCTTGGAAAAGAGCAGTTTCTGTCAAGAGCTCTCTCAGCCCCATCTACCTCACAGGGTGTCTGTTGTGGGGAGGGGAAGGGAAAGGAGTTTGTAAGCCGCTCTGAGACACCTTTGGGTAGTGAAGGGCAGGGTATAAATCCAATCTCCTCCTCCTCTTCTTCTGCTTTGGTGCTTTTTGGCCAGACCACCTCCACTCATTTTTATTGGCAGCAGATTTGGAGAAAATTCCAACAATACATTCAGAGGGTAGCTATGAGGGTCTGCTGTAGAACGGTAAGATTCGAGTCCAGTAGAGCTCGTGTTGGTCTCGAAGGTGTTAATAATTAATCATAATTATCATATGGCATTGTGTGTAGAACAGCCAGGAGAGTCTAAGATTGTCTGGCAGCTAGAAGTTCTCGCTCTTGAGCGTTATGCACCACTAGGTGGTGAGTTAGACTTGCTTTTGAGGTAAGAGACATTTCAGAGGTGGTTTGCCGTTGCCAGCCTCTGCGTCACACCCCTGGGATTCCGTGGAGGTCGCCCTTCCAAATACTAGCCAGGGCTGACCCTGCTTAGCTTCCGAGATCTGATGAGATCGGGCTAGGCTGAGCCATCTAAGGTGCTGCTGGACTTGACTATAAATGTCCAGCAACAGAAAGATATAGAGAGGTAAGGAGTGTGTGTGTGAGGGGGCAGGATCTAATTCCCCGTCGTCTATGTGTCCCCATTACATTAAAAAAAATAGACCCAACTAAGGTTGCCAACCTCCAGGTGGGATTAAACAGAACAACTTTGAAGTATTATGCCAAAGAAAAATATCCAGAGACTGTATAGTTCTTATCCAATGTCCAGTTTACTCGGAGCAGATCAATCTCTCAAAAATATTTCACAGTGACGCCAGCAACACTAACGGACTATGCATATCAAGTCGCGTTTCATTCACAAACGTTGTCAGAGTGTGTAGCGTTGAAATTTCTATATAGCTAATTCATTTAACAAGCAATACGGCCATTTCTCATGGTAACTTTCATCAAAGCAGATGACAACAGCCATCCACTGGTGTGCCTTCATAACCATCACCCAGTGAGGAGGGGCGGGGCTTCGGCGAGCTAATGGTGGCTGTGTCTCCTGGGATCTCCAAGGGATGTAGCTCCCAAACCAGCAGTTAGAGAGGGGGTGCGAATGTTCACGCCCCCCCACCCTTGCGAAGGGTCTCCAGTCATGGAGTGCTGAGGGTCGCCTCTTTCCCAGAACGCTGTCGGGAAATTGAGGCGTCCCTTTGCTCAAACGGTCTCTCTGCTGTGTTCCAGCAAGGACTAAGCTACGCACACCCCAGCAAGCGAGTGGAGGTTGAGCGGCAAATAAGCATATCTGTCGGTGAGATCTACTTGATCTACAT